GTTCTTGCAAACTGTTTTATCTATAAATATCCCTCCATTTTTTACATTCAATAGTTCACAGTACTTTGCCGGAGATTTTTTCGTGTAATAAGAGACGTAGAATAAAATTGTCCGTGAATTAAGATATATTCAAAAAATGAAATCACGCATTCGACAAACAGCTAACCGATTATTCATATACATGATTCTTTCTCGTAACGGACTTTATAATAATCGCGTATAAATGAAAGAATTTCACGGTTTCAAGTAAAATGATCACTATCGAGAAAACGAGTTCAGTAGACCATTAACCACATATTTAATGAGAAAGTAAAATTCAAATCTAATTAGAGATCAAGCTAGAAATCCAAGATTACTTTTTCATTCGACGATTCTCTCATCAACATTTCAAGAATGAAATAAGGTCGATCGATTCTCTTCGGTCTAAATTACAGACCTGTCGAGAACTGCTGGATGAACAAAATGATTGATTCAAACTGCAAATATCGAAACAAACCGCGGAAACCATGTTCATTTGGTAAATATTTCTCACTGAGGAAAAATCAGCCAGTAAGGAAAGATAATGGCAAAACGATTCATAAGAGATAAGTTAAAGGCGTATCTCGGTTGGAGCTCGAAATTTTATTGTTTTTTGATCTAATCGCAATGCAGCGAGTCACTCATGCACTCCATTTTTTTTCCCTCCGGGGTTCCCGTAACTGTATTGCATGTTACCCGGCGCACTTCCTGTGGATGAGAATTCCTTAACGAACTAGTTTTCAGCCACGCGTTTGCATTTCACGCGCATCATGCCGCCGCCGCGTTTCTCGCACGAGATGCACAGAATCGGCTCGCACTAGTTAGCATTTTGACCGAACACGGGCTTGATTTCGAATACCGTTAGCGAATTACTCGACCGGTGGACTTTTTGTTAATTCAATTACGTCGGCTAAACGGAACTGACCGCTGGTGCTTGGTAATTGGAGATCGAATTCGAGATGAAATTGATAGAGGAAAAAAAGGAAAAATATTTAAACTTGGAATAATTGCAATACTGAATTGTAACACTAACCATTACTTCGTTAATTAAATAGTGTAAATTTGACATTTTCCACTAATATTTCGAAAAAGATTAACTAACGTAATATTCCATTTAAAAATAGAAGGTGAACCGTGAATGAGTAATTATGAATCACTAATGAGTTATTAAAATAATTGTAAAATTTAATGGATGAAATTTATTCCAAACGAAGACGTTTAAAAGTGATGTGCATCGCTAACCCTCGAGATAAAGTAAGTTAGGCCCATAAGCTACGCTGCAAAGCTTACAAAACATTGGTATAATGTTTGTAAAAGTGCACGTTCTACATCGAAGACTCAACGGCGATAATTAAACTCAAAATTTTATGCATTCATACCATGCAGAACTATCCAAAATAAAGTAAAATACACAGATTTAATAAATTCATTATGCCTTTCGTAGTTTAATGAAATCTTTAAGAAAACGAAAATTTTTCTATTTTTATTTCTGAATTTATAAACTGCAGCGGTTCTTGTTTCATTGATGCAGGCTTGAGACCAAGAAACAATGAATGTGAGTGAAATAGAGAGAAAGCTTCGAACAGCTGTTTTACGATGTGTAGCACAGATAATAGTACGCTCACTCTGAGGAACCAGTTCCAGCAATTGGTGGGGATAACTCCACGTCAATTAAGCGGGGACTCCTGTACTCTACACACTACAATTTTGCATGAAGATCCACACTCTAGTAACGACTACACATACGACGTCTCAGAGCGAAAACCTCGAACCTCGGAATATAATATTCCTTTCAGCCCAACAAGATGACCTCGAAGGATTCTCAACACCTTCAAGTGCGCCATTTATCATCGTGAAACTCGAACTTCCTTCAACCCGGATCGTATTCAACCCCACGCGACCCAACTTCTCGCTGAAAGACACACTTCCTTAATACGTGTCCGTTTACGAATTAAAGATCCATTTATATTGGAACGGGATGAGCTTTCGACGAACCTTGGGTGAAGGTTAGACAAACCCTGACAGAAAGTTAGATGAACGAACCCTGACAGACAGTTAATTAGACGAACCCTGAAGTTAAACGAGCCTTCCACGAGCTCGGTAGTAAACATTCTTTCATTTGAAACACGAAAGAATATTTTTGTCGGCTCATCGAAAACTCTGGTGAAGGGATCGTCAAAGGCTCATCCCGTGCTCGACCCATCCTAATATAAACGGTCCTTTAATCGGGACACCTCGGCGAATTTAGCATAATCTCGTGCGAACGCGGGATCGTCCAATTTGTACGGGGGGAATCGGGAACGTGAAAAACCGCATTCTATGACGGTTCGATGGCGGCACTTCGTACTTTCGAATGTTCGCAGGTCCCCGTGTCCCGTTCCCGATACGGGGCGGGCGACAAGCACCGTTGTCTAATGAAAATTAATTAGGAACGCCGAACGCGCAGCAGGTGTTATGAGAATTCGTTTAAATTAGCCCGTGTAAACATTACCATGCAAAATTATGCGCGCCGGGGCTAAACGTAATCACCTTCGTGCCGTGCGCGTGCGCGCACGCGCACATCCCGGGCATTATTTACGGGGATGCAATTATGTTACACGAATCCATGTGGCCCCGCAGTCCCCGGTGTTATTCTAATTTACGATGCAAGGACGCATTCGAATATTTGCCGGAGATTATGGGCGGCGATTCGGTTGTTACTGGGTGGACAACATGGCGCCATCGGGACTGGATGTAGTTTTGAGGGTGAACTTTAATATTTTACTGTCCGATGACTGAACGGGATTAAACGGAGCTAATTTTGTATGGTATGGTATGGTGGCAGTGTGTTCGGAGTTCGTATTAGTCGAATTTTAGTATAATCGTCGTTGGACCTCTGGGTACAATGAGTATAGAGTGAACTTCCATATAACCCGAGTTCATATAACACGGATTCGTGTAATACAGAAGGTGTCTCACGTGTAATACCGGAGTCTACTGTATTTGTACCGAATAAGGGGACACACTTTTACTGTGATTACATTAGATTAATGTTAATTTATTATTATTCTTAACGTGATATCATTATTATTGTTAATATTCAAATTTCAGACATGGCATGTCTTGGTTTGTTTCTATTTTAACAACAATAAATAAGAATTGAAAATTTTAGGGTGATTTTATAGGTATCCCATGCAATGTATTACACTGTACTGAATGCCTGAGGGTTTTACTTAGCTTAGTTAATCTTGCTGCGCCTTCCAATTGTGAACATTATTAAATAAGTATTGAATTATTGAATAGATATGTAGGAGATTGAAGAATAACCTAATTATATGATTCTATAATCTTATCTATTTGATACTATGATGGTATACATTCTTCTGAAGCAAGAAACGTAAATCAAATATTTATACAAATATAGAAGATTAGATGAAACTACATAATAAGTACATCACGTATACGAAATCATGTTTTACTAGCTACTCTTAAAGCCACATTAATCCGTCCTTCAATAACAACTTATTTTCAGTCGTTAACTAATTCTTTAATATTTTTTCCTTTTTAAAAACAATTCCAGGAATAATAATTGCAAGAAAAACAGTACCATCTGAATATTCGTTAGACATGAGTAATTAATCCACCGAAGTAATAAAACAATTTAAATCTGAAAGAGTTCCATTACTTAAGGATGCACAAAGGAAATTTACAGAGTGAGTGAAATTCTGAGGATTCATGGACTGGAGAATATAAAGTGCACAATTGTCCACATAATTTTCCACCCGAAATCAGTTCTAATAGCGTCATCCCACGCGGAATCGTTTCCAATAAACCACCATGCCGAAACTGCCCCGGGGGTACCACACGGTGCGACGCGGATTACTACTTAGATTCGTGCCAATATTGCCGTACGAAGAAATTTGTTGCGGCATTATTTACAACTGTACCTTAACTAGAACAATAGAACAATGGAACAATAGAGTAATGCGAGTGTAACGAGGAGCGGTGTTACAGAACGAGTTGCAGTGCAAATAAACGGGCCCGCATACCAGCAATTTCAGACGTCGAAAAGATAGAAAAATGATCAGGATAACCGTTCCGCTGTAAGGAATGAACGCGACGAGGATCAAAGCGTTCCAATGTTTCGTTATTTGTCGACGGACGTTCGTTCATTTTTTTCCCCCTTTCTACTCCTGTTTGAACGATCACATCCTGTTCGTGGAATCCTAAGGGCGATCAGACGGTCTGTTTGAGATGTCGTTAGTCGAGAGGATCGGCCATAGGTACGAAGGTAAATACACCTGCCTTTTGATTTCGTATTTGTAGGAAGATTGCTTCAGAGTAAATGCGCCCGGACCCGCGCGCAGTGTAACCCTCAAAAGATTGCCGTTTACTCGACCAGTGACTCCGTGTTCGACGGTTTCGAAATTGTTATCCTGAACGAAAAATTTTGGGGAATAACTTGGAGCCAATGGTGAAAAGACGTCAAAACGTTATTAAGATTTTGCTGACGGGAGGGTTCAACTTAAGAGCGTACGCTCAGAGTGGACTGTATTTATAGCATGCACAAAACTAAAAATATTTAGAAACTACTGCTCAACTTTTATTTGTCAATCTATATTTTATAAATCATACTGCCTTTTCTCTTGAGAATTTTTTTTTGTACAGGCAGACTCTATTTAGACGGTTTTTATCCGCATACAGAAAAACCAAATGGAGCAAACACTCCGCCTAAATCGGAGGACGGGTGCACGTATAATTCTTTTTAAAACAATATTATGCCTTTTTAGAGAGCCCGTTTCAACATATTAAAGTTTGAAGAAAATCGGAGACACCGACCAAATTGTAAACTATTACCGAACCATTCATATTTCTTGTTGTACTGTGCGCAACGAATACCACACTTACTTTCATTACACGTGTGGCTTCTTTCAAGTGGTCAGAAATTTAACCCTTAAACTTTATTCCCAAAAAATTGTAGTTCCAAAATAAAAAACGCTCACCTTTTCGATGGCTTCCAGCGCCGCTTCAAAACTCCCAGCATGAGTAAACCGATGTAAACGAGGCCCAGGTGCCAACGGGCTTCCGACTCCCAGGAGCGTATCAACCACCACCACCACCAAAACCAATCACCACACAACAAACACCGGTGAACTTCGTCGATCTTTCCGAAAGATCTCTCTCGTCACCCGAGTCACACCATGATCGTCCACCGTTCTGTGTTATTTCGCGCCAGAATTTATTCGTTACACCTCTCTAGCAGGTTGACACTCTATCGATCAATCGATCGACACTCGTGATTTTCTTCCGACGAGAAATCAAAGAACTCCCCTGATTGACTCACTGTTTCGCACGAGACGCGATTCGCTGTATCGTGAACAGATATCGAGAGTTTAAATCGCGAGCTCCAATCTCGTAGCGCGGCCAACTTCAAGTCACACACCGAGCTTACACAAACTGTTCATTAAAATTGTTAATAATAATGAATCCAATTTACAGGGATGGTCAATAGTGTGAAGATGCACAGTATGTTATAAATTGTCAATAGAACATAGCCTACTAATCCGTCTCTAACGATATTATGTAACATCATTTTTCCGTTAAATTTTTGATAATTAATTAAAAAAGAAGTCTTTCGATTAAGATACAAGTGTATTACTATCCCGTTATCGATTTGTGGAACTTCTCACCCCCCCCCCCTTCCCTGGAGTAACGATAAGAGTTTCGTGTTTGACAAGAATCTCTATCATTTCTCTGATCCGTCAACGCATAATAAGACCTTCGCGCGTCAATACATACGGGTGAACGTCCTGCGCGAACCTATTTCACTTGGACGGAAAAAAAAAGACACGGGACTCGTCAATAGTAATGTCACGTTCGCTTCGGACTCAGAACAGAGAAAAAAAAAGTGAAAAACATTAAGAGCAGGCAAAGTGAGTCAGCAACGCTTCTCATTGTCCGCTTATCAATGAACAATCACCGACTCAACGCACTCGGGAATCGCGTGGGTATTTTCGAACTGTTCATTCCCGAACGAGCGAGGTTAATTAACCGGAAAATTGTAAACTCGGCGTGAGACATGGAGGCACAGTGAAAATCTTATTTCCCCTTCTCGAGAAAATCGAAATAACTATTGTTTTCGTTGATTGTTTTACCAATAAGATACTTATAGGCACAAGTGTGGCCTTTAGCAATTACGTCACAATTTAAATCGAAAGAAATGACACTGTGTAAAATTTTAATTAATTACTTATTAACTCATTCGAAATTCTTATCAATTTGATTATCAAATAATGACACCACTCACGACGAGACACAGTGTATTCCAATAAACATTCACAGTTAGTTGTACGTATGTACACAAGATGATTATATCGCTGATTAATTAGCTGCCAATGATGTCAGCACGAACGGTACCTAGCTTCCCTGATTAATCGTCCGACCCAAATAAGAAATTACGGTTCATGATAATAAAACTCACAATTACCCCCAGTTTTGCTAGAAAAAGCTTGCAACCACTACATCCTGTTCACGATATTCTTTTCCATAATTACTACATATCACCCGAAACACATTTCGCTCGTGAGTTCGAAACGTTTAAAATAAATCATTTACCACTAAGGAACTAATAAAATCTTGTTTGCACCATGCGAATTTTTATACTCCACTTTAGAACATTACATAAAAATTCGATTAATTACTACACTTCTTCAAAGTGCAAAGTGTTTCAACGTCACAGATATGTCTAAATCTCCATAATATAAAGTCCATACTAATCATCTACAATGGTAGTCATAAGTTTAAGGACTGAGTTCACTATCAATAACAATTTCATGAAGTAATAATAACAAAGAAGTAATATTCAAGATATGAGAACCGTCAAATTCACGTTTATCTTCACAACACTGTCAATAAATAAACATGTACCACAACAATAAATGGATTCTTCAAATAACATCAACCAGTAAATAATAATCATAACCTAACACTAAACAATTAATACATCAATTTGATATGAAACTTCCTTTTGATCGTTATATGTACACTGTCACTGACACCCAGAAAAAAACGCGCGTACTGTTGCCCAAACATAATGTTGCCCCCCCGATCACCGCGTAATCACACGATGTTCATTTCGAAGACGGAGATCATTGTCACTTGTCGTCGTACGCGTCGATCGATAGATATTTCGGAGCAATCTACGTCGCAAATTTCGTATAACAATCTGGTAAACGCGTGGACAACAGGCGGGAGGCGAATCGTTCGCACGGAAACGTTACGAGGCGAAACAAACCCCCAAGCTCGTTTTTCCGCGTTCGAATGAATCACCGTCTCTCGTCGTGGGGTCTCACTCGAGGCACACGGGTAATACCACTTGCCACTGTACGCAAAACACTACAAGGCGCGACGGTGCATATGCCCGTCGAGCCTCCCCCGGAACGATACAATCCCTCTCTCCACCAGAGATTTCTAAAAGTTATCACACACAGCTTTCATTGGCTGATTCTTGAAAAGATTAACATATATGTTTGGCAGTCATTATAAGAATAAACGAATAAAAGTCATGTATGATAATTTTCTACCCATCTATGCTCTCCACTAAAGACCACACTGCGCGTTTTGGACTCGTCGGGGAGAAGTCAAAGGCGCGACTACGAAAATCGGTGGCTCGTTTTTTACCCACGTTTTACGGAAATCGGACACGGTGACCGTGTTTCCTGACAAGTAGAAGACGACGGGGCGAAGAAAACACTGACGACGTATGTACGTACGTATCGACGCGAGTCACACGCAGCAAAGAAGAACACGAGCGATCAGACGGAAGTCGCGCGGCGCGAAAAACACAGACACGAACCGGCTGCGCGCCGAACTCGAACTGAACCAAAGACAGAGATGGCAGACACGCGGTACTCCTTCCCCGGCGAGCAGCCGGGCTCCTCGCTTCCCCCACCAACCGGACCGACTCCCCACGGACTTCCCTTGCCGGCCAGGCACGGCTCAAGGTACCGGCGATACCAAGCGCCACGGGCCACCTTGTTCTGGATAATCAATCGAGTTACATAGAGGGTGGTTTTGTGCTGCGACTGCATACACGCAAAAACTTTCAAGGGCAAATTTGACAAACGAAAATGATCGATCCGCCCACTGTATACGGGTATTGTATTTTATATATTTAATTAGTAGACTGAGTTTACGTAGGATAAACGCACCAATGAATGAACATGTAAGGTGGCTCACGCAAAATTTTTAATAATTATAAATTTAGTTGAAAATTTAACAGAACATTCTTCATAGCTTCAACTTTTGATTACTACCGAAAAATCGCAAGGGCAACGATAAAATTATTGAAAAAGAAACGTTATAAAAATGTCTTTTTAACAGGAGTCTTGTGGAACAGTAGTTGATACTTGAGAAGATAATCGCTTCTTATTTAGTTTAAAAAAAAAGACGCTTTCATAGAAAATTAGGTGGTCATAGATTTTTAATAAAAGATAAGAATTAAAGATACTTATAATAAGATCGCGAGGATATTCGACGAAGTATTAATTTATTGCAAACAGGTTTGTGTGTAATAAATATTATCTTTGGCAGGTACTTCTGTGTTCGTTGTTTTACCGTTAGATTTTGCATAATAAATGTCCTTTGAATAATAGAATTTTAACCATTACAATTTATCGTGTAACGATGATCTTTAATCGAAGTAAAGTCTATCTTAATTAACACACTGTCTCTAATTAGTTACAGGTAAGCTTATTGATTCCATGTTTAAGAGTTTTAAGATGGTTGAAATAAAGTACGCTAAAAAGCGACATTTATTATGCAATAACATAATATTTTCACGGGCAACACGATTTTCATTAAGCTATGTTTAATTTCTCTATTTAACGCATACTAATCTGAATCATATAAATTAAAGTGTACACTAATGCAGATTGTAATTAACATTTTTAACTTCAACGCTGATGAAAATGTAAAATATATGTAGGTACGTGTAAGCCGGTCAGCAAAACCGGCGTTCAAACGAGAAACGCTCGAACTAAAAGTGAAAACAGAATGAGACCGTAAAACACATGTTCATCATAAATTTACGTCCAACGCTCTCCGGTGAAGCTATAGGATTGCATCTACATCCTGCAACCCGGGCATAAAAAGCTCGGAACAAGGGAGAGGATGAGCTTAACTGGCGTTGCATAATCTCATGTTCGCTAATCGGATTACGAGATAGTTGATTCGCAGTAAAACCAAACCGTATAGCTCTTATTTCTGAACATCGATGCACAATTATTTTTAAGAGAGTTCCGTCATCGAAATGGGTCAAAAAGGAAGAAAGAAACATTAGTTTACTAAATGATGTGTAAAAAAAATTGCAAATGGCCGGAATCGCGAAGAGAATAGTAATGATCGCTTTTTACAACTTTTTAATCTGAGGCTATAATGAAAATTTAATAGTAGTTATATACATACTGAAACTTTCATTGAAATTGGTTGATACAAATACGAGCGACGTTTTATATCCCATTGTATTTCGTTTTCATTTCTAAAATTTTCAACATAGAAAATAATCGTACCGTGAGGGGCAGATAACTACTAAAAAATGAAGAGTCCAGGGGAAACGGTCATAGTCCATTCTAATTCGGAATTGAAATTTTAGCATCGTATGTTAAATCTTAGGAAAAATTAGGGGCCAAAGAATCTTTGGTTTGGGAAAGAACGATCAATGTCACCTTTCTCCAATGGAAGAATGATCCAATTCGATAGACCAATGTCTGGACTATAAAAAGAAATTAAACTTTGGTGAAATTTGTAAGCGTTTAATATTTTCTTAAAAAGATTCAAAAGTAAATTATAAAAAAGAAGAATATTACATTTTTGATCGTGTACAGTGAGAGGGAGTTTACAACAGTTTCTTTCTCAAATACAGAAAATTTTACTTTTTGTGACTATGATCATTGTTCCTTTGGACAGTTCAAATTCGAATGGAAAATTCGCGTGCATCAATGATCGCGATCCGTCTGAACGCTGGACGTATCCCGAGAAACGTAATCGTCACTTGACCCGCGCCGTACTCAAATCGCACTAAGTTATTAATACGGGAACGCGTACCCCCTAACAGCAGCTTTACT